GGACGAGCGGCGAAAAACACAAAACAAGTTGGATAGGCTAGGGGCGCGATTCACTCGAGCCCTCTTCACATCTTTCTCTCTCTTTTTTCCCTTGGATTCTTTGACCGTGTTGACCCCTTTGCAGTGGCTTCCTTGTCGCTTTGTATTTATTTTCCTCTCTCGTGAAAGAAACCCTCGGTGAAAGAGCAAAAGCACTCGCGTACAACTGGCAAGAAGTGTATATATAATAATAATGGACACAGTAGAGGGCTCAGGGTTGCGCGTTCGAGCACATTGCATGGGATATACGTCGGTACTCATGATTGACTTTAACGAGCGCGACTTGGGAATCATTTCTCTCTTATATACAGCCAGATATTACTCGCGAATTTGTGATCGATACGAGACGAGCGTAACCAAAGGCATCAACGTGCCAGAGTCTATAGCTATCTAGAAAGAAAAAGAGATAGCATGGAGCAAGAAAACGCACACTGTACGATCCTCACGCGCGGCGATAAATAATCGAACAAGAATATATCGGAAAAAGACGAGAGAGAGCAAAGATGCAGGGAAAAAAAAGATTGAGAGCCAAAGGCAAATATACCAAACGACTCCCTGCGAGGAGACCTCGGGTCAACTTCTAGCGGACATTGCGGGGGGCCTTAACTAACGAGCCGAGCAATTAACATTTTTATTAGACGACTATCTTATTTTTTCATTCATATGTGTACATAAACTAATCTGTGCTCTGATAGTATCAGCATTGTCAACAAAAAGAAAAAGTTCGGTTTTCATTGGATACAGTCCAAATAATCTTATTAGCACCAACATTGTGCTATCTTGTTCAGATCCCTTGAAAGTAAACTTTTTTGCCAAAATAAATATTGCAGCTTTTATTATAAATAGAACGAATCATCTATAAGTTTCATTTTTTAAATATTTATGGATTAATACTTATTTCTGTCGAGTTATTATTCTTCCTTGTCTCTCATAAGATACGATAATATGATAAAAATATTGGATATCATAAACATTGTATTTCAATTAAGATATCAGAGATGGTATCTACAATGATTAAAAATAGATTAATATATTGGTTTTGGCTATTATAATTTACATAGAATGCTCTGATAATACTTGCATTGTCATTAAAGGAAACAATTAAGTTTCTATTGGACACGATCCAAACAATGTTATTAGCAGCAGCGAGCGCAAGCATCATCGGCATGATGGGTTCAAAGTAACACGCATCGATGCTCACAGATGGGGCACGTCAAGTATACTTGGAAGCACAGGTTTGAGTATTGACTGCCGCACGTTCAACAAACGCACGCTCGTCCGGTATTCCCTGGCATTTGGTGGCCGTATACAGTATCCAGAACCCTTCTCCACCCTCTCATTCCCGCTTGCTAACGCGTTCTCTCTCTTTCTCTTCTCTCTGCTCTTCAATGATTGTGTGCGCCGTGGTGTACGGTGATTTGGCTAACCACACGTTGTCGAGCTATCGGCGGCATCCACGAGCATTGTTTGCTCGCTTTGATGAGGCCAATTCGACGGCTCGTACCATTCCAGTGAGACCAAGTGCGCATGATTATTCTTTTCTATGGTACACTGATCGTATATCATTACTGATGATCTGTCCGATTGTATTCCATAATTTTAGACAACGTTAATTCAATATTTCTGTAGATAAATTTTTTGAAAAATAATTTTTTTTTCTTCTTCACATAAAGTATTTATTATTTGACGTTTCAGTGCAATACGACAGACACTTGTGAGGGTCTCGTCACGATCGATCGCTATAATACGTGAGACGGCCACTTCCTTATATTCGCCTTCTGCTTCCTCTGCTGCCGTTCATATATCCTCTGTGTTTTACCCTTAAGACGACCTCCAAGACCAACCATTACCTGTAAAATGGATACACGTATATATCTGTAGAAACTGTATATATGTGTATATATACTCGAACGATAGTCGTTCAACTCGTCCTCTATGTACACCTTGCAAACTGTAAGTAAAACCTGAGGGGTTTGCACTATTAAATGCAGACACGAGCAGGCACAGTCCGGAAATTGCCTAATTTCCTGAGTGCGCACGCCGATCCGTCAACCTGACATGACGGAGACGTAGTTACATGAAAATTCCGTGACTTTTAATGTCAAATATCGAAAAGAAGGCCGAAGAAAAATAAAATTTTTTTTAATATGAAAGACTAGTTGACATTTTGCAGTCTAAAGTCTAGACAGGAATGAAATTACTCTGTTATTTTGAAGTAAATTGGAACACGAGTAAAAAAAAGAAGCTTAAATCTGTAAGATGACCAAATCTTTGTTATCGCATTTTGTACAACCCTCACTTGGACACTCGGAAGCCGGTTAGACAAGACTAAAGCTCTTTCATAGCCGTCGAGGAAAAAGATTAAGTACAGGACGTGGGTCGGCAGTGATAGAGCGACTAATCCATGAACTTAGACTTTGAAAGAGTCTCAAAAATGTAGGGATAACGTGACAGTAGATAAAACTAAAAGTCTCTGATTAAATAGACCTAGTTTTTCTTTAAAGTAAACAATTATTCCATTCTAGTTGTCTAATTCAATTAAATAATTAATTCAATCTTACAAGATTAATTAGCGTAGTAATGCCATGACACATGGTGAATAGGCATAGCAAATAAAGAAAGGTGACCTAAATTCTAAGATGAATTGTCATACATACAGAGAAAGATCTAGATGATTTATATAATTTATATATAATATAAAAAATAGGATAAAAATTAGTAATGAAAAATACTGTTCGTTTACTTCGTGCTCCACGGTTTAATTCCACAAGATGCTTCGTGAGAAAATTAATGTCGAGTGTTCTCCAATGCGCTTTCGCGTATATGGCATCAACATCCAGAGTTGTGGAGAGACAAAGGAATGAGATGAGAACGAGAAGCAAATAAGATAGAGTATACAAACCGCTCAGCATCATCCACACGATGTCGTCTCGATGCCAGATGCTGGACCCGTTTCCCTTTCTGTCTCCTTCTTGTTGGTATTCCCCACTTTATGTTCTCTGGGCGTGTCGTCACTTCCCCACCGTAGTTTTTACTTCCCCTGATGCCCCTATTCTCCTTTTCCCACCATCAGCGCGCGCGCTCGACGACGTGCGACAGTGGGGTTTTGCCGACAGCGAGGTTTGATGCCAGCAGGGAATCAACGACTCCGGTGTGTCGCCGTCAGTGTCCCAATGTTCCACGCCTTCAACTACATCTCATTGGTTCGTACTGACTGTCTCCAGAACTCGCGACACACGCCCATTTCCTCATCTACCTTAAAACAAGTATAATTAATGCTCTCTGACCTCTCTTACGCAAACTGCAGACACTGCAGTTATACTTCTTTTTCATCAATCATGTGTCAAGAGTCTATAGATACTGTAATTACGGAGACCTGTGGTGAACTTCAAAGTCTACATCATAAATGAAGATAAAAAATAAACTATTTCTTACCTATAAGATAATTGTTCTTGTCCAATACACGATAACATATCCATAAAGCTGTCAACTTTGATGAAAATCAAATTTATATTACTTCACCACTTTAATGCTTGTATTTTCATCATAGAAATCGACTTTGATTCTTCATTAGCAACAAAGAAACCACATAGTATGGTTCGAGTATACATATTTCACATTTGTGAAACTGTATACTTTAATACTGAATCAGTATTTCAATCCAATAGCAACATTGCTAGTCAAAATTCATTGCATAGAGAATCCTACATACATAGCTGGATACTATTTTTAAATACCAAACTGCAACGTCAGATCATATTTTCAATAGAACATGAATATCTGTTTTATCCACCAGAGTAACATGATATCATATTAGCAGTTATACATGCTGTTGCCGTAAGTAAAAATTTTTCAATTTAATCATTTCTTTCTATACTATTTGATCTGCATAATACTTGAGCTGATTTGAAGTAGTCTTAGATGTGTTAAATTATCATTGGGTAATCATCGTAAGTACCAAAGACATAAATGTCATAAGTTATTTCGGTAAAAATTCTGCTTTCATTCCTTCACGAGTGGATAGTGAGTATAAAGAACAACTATTGTATACCACATCACCTGGAAGCAACATAAAAAGCGTGATTCAATCATATCTTATTGTTAGGATATTTTTATCGTGTAATAAATAAAGCAATACGGATAACTTGTGTAATTATAAATAGTACATGAGTTATAAATTATACAGAGATTATTTCATCAACATGAATATCAGATACTTGGCTCAGATTCTATTAACTAATTATAAAATTGTGAAATTTTACTAAATAACTTCTTTGGTTAAACAACCAGTAACATGATGAGTTTAATGTTTTCATGTGGATAAAAATAAAAGAAACAGCAGTAAAATATTTATCAAATGTACATAATAAAATCAAATCTTTGCTGTATAGAAGATAACCATACCTTGACAAAGTGCAACAGAGAAATTTTTTTTGTTACTAAATAATTAATTATATTACTGTGCATTTTCCATTTTCTATACAGTCAAATCTTTCATCTTTTTGAGACATAGTTTTCAATAAAACTATAATTATAGTTAAAAATAGTAATATTGTTTTGAAAAAATTTCAATAATGGTTTAATAACCCCAAATTATACGATGAGACGTAATTTACGCATTAACGTGCAAGCCTTATACCTTACGTAGGTGGTTTATTAGCTTTAGAATGTATATAGCTTATATTTATCTATTTTATGCAACTATAAACTTCTATCGACACAAATATACCTTTAGAGTTTAAAAAAAAGAGTTAATAAAACTTAATAAAAAAAAAACTTGCGAAATTGTTTATAAAAATAGTCGTAGACGCTATACACCATAAATAATTGCGAGGGGTTCACATATGCACTTACACGAGCTTCGTAATCGGAAATCTTCGGTACGTTTCGGTGATTTTCGTTGCTCTAGTGGTCACGCGCGCGCAGCACCGTCGAGTCTCATGCTGCTGCGTCGAAAGAAAGTGTACAAGATCGAGTGCATTTTGTTGTCGTTGTTTTTTCTAGTTTAATTCGTTAAAATAAATAAAATTTGCATACAAACACATTCCTATTGAATGCCCGAAGCGTTTATTGACATAATTGTACATAGAAAGAGAAGAATTAACAAGTAATTGCGTTTGAAATAATATTCTTTCTTCTGGGAATACATGGAAGTTCTAACCCGGTACGCGGTTATCCACGATTAATTACGAAAACGCACGAATCGGTTTCTCAACGCGGGGTAACAGAGTCTTTCATGGTTCGTTCGAGAGAACGGTCGGAGTCGCGAACCTTCTTAAAATTATCTTTAATAAATGTTTGTTTATGTTAATTCGTGTTTATTATCCGCAAGAGTTGGCCATGACAGTGATAAGTGCGTAAGCGTCTCGTAACTTTGTGTGATAATGTGGGGTTAGGACATAGGAGCGTGAAGACAGTAGTGACGTCTAAGTGAATAAGTTTATGTGACACAGTTTTTAAATGGAAATAATGATAATGAGATGATAGAAGAAGTTTGAAAATCCAACAAGAAGGAATTATTCTTTGGAGGGAAAATAAGAATTGTAGGCGGAGCGTTGAGGAAGGGGACACGTGACACGGAAACTGTCACGCCGCCCTTGCCTCCTTCCCCTACCATCCTTCCTCTAAACTCCCTCTCTATCCTGCAACCCTCGAACCCCACTCCAACGACCAAAAACGACTGGAGATGTTGCTTCTCTTCAATATAATATGACTAGAATGTCCGTGGAAATGCTATGATATTGACCTGATGCTTTACAAATTTTTCTGATAATCCTATGCTGTTTCATGTTTTCTTTTGATGTTTAGCAAGAGGCAAGAATTATTTTTTTATTATTTGAACATTCGAGATTGAAAAATTAATGTAAATTCTTTCTTCAGGAGATGCAGAAGGCAAACCTTGACATTAACTGTAAGACAAATGGTTCAGGCTTGCATTTGGACGTTGATAAGTCCTCGAAGGAAGTGCTAGTGAAACAAGAAGCACAGGCAGTTGATGATGAAGCTACTAAGGTGAGAATAAAACAAGAATTCTCTGAAGAAAATGAAAGTAGTCGTGTAAATATTGTAAAGAACGAGGTATTATCAGACTCGGAAGACTTTAATCAAGGTTTTCAAGGCGTTGAACCTTCAAATGATAATCATCCTCGAAACTTCAGTCATTCAAATTTTCAAAAACAATGGAAATCTAGAGAAATTAATGATTTATCTCGTTTCTCGAATCAGTACTTATCAGCAATGCAACATCCGGCTTATCAAGCCGTCGGTCCAGCATTGCTAAATGCTATTGAAAATCCGTATTTTTCTTCATCATTTCCCTCTGCTTCTTCAATACAATCTGCCTTTTTTGATCAATCTCAAGACTCAGAACGCGAGAAATATGTCAATGAGGTCAAACACCAGAGTCATGAGATAAATGAAGATAAACGATTGGGTTATCATAATCATCAGGTGTCCAAGAATAATTTTACTACTTTTGCTAGAGAATTTAATGAATCTGTTCTCCGCGATCATCGTTCTCATCATGAGTTTCACCATGGAAAATCGCTTGAGATGAGATATCCATATGATTTTCGTTCTTCAGAGCTGTCATATTTTATTCAGCATCAACAACTAGCAAATCAAAATAGCATGCGAACTTTGTACCCAGGAAAATATCAAAGGAAGTGGAATAATTTGGCACTGAAGTTACTACAGCAGACATCCGTGAGTTTAAAAACTACATAAATATTAACAACAAGAAATTATTTCTTATCATGATATGTTTTAAAAGAAAATATTATTCTTCCAGATCGGTATTTGAATCCCCCTTTGACAAATATTGGGTGAACACTTATACCTGTATCGTAAAATTTTTTTTAATTCATCCAAAAACATCTCAATTTATTCATGATGGCTACATTAATGAGCAATAACATTTATCTAATATTTTGCTCAATTGATGATATGTCATGTATCCCATTCAATCAATTGATTTAGTACTGATGTTTTGAGTTTATTAATTTTATTAATAAAACTTTTTCTTAATCACCTTGATTAAGAACCAGTTTTCTGGTTTCATTCAATATTTTTATCATCAAGAATTTTTATAAATAGGATGTTTATTATCATTTAGAACTTTTTCTCCAACATTAGAAAACTTTTTTGACTTCAATTAATAGATTAATTTTTGGAGTAATTCAGTCATTCAAATTCAAAATGAACTTCTCATCATCTATTATTTTCTGTTACTTTCTTTAATACCAGTGTGTATATATATTTTTATTTAAATGAACTTTTTTATTGATGTTTTGAATGGTAATGAAAGAATGAAGTTATTTATAGATTAATAGTTTACCCTGTAATTCCATAAATACTTCTTCTTTGTTTCTATCAGGGCTCGGTTTACCAATTATTCGATAAAATTCTAATGATAAAGCAAACCCTTTTATAAATTGCGTGCATTTTCAAATATTTTAGTCTTTTTATATTACTTTACATTCATTAGACTTTTCTGCACGCACGAACAAGCATCATGTAGCATCAGTATACTTCACGAGCGTTACGTATTCTGGAATTTAAAATGTTTTCTCGTCCTCAGAGCTCAATAATATTCCCTGGCTTGCAATACTCTCGCTCTATCGCGTCCCCAGCAGCATGGGAACGCGTCCGTCGAACCGAACCGTTACGTCGTTATATGCGGCCGAACGATCGCGTTACGCGCGTTATTTATTCTTGGAAATGGTTTCACAGTGAAATCGCGTCGTCCGCATGGAAATACTTCATTCCAGAATAGAATTGTTCCATAAGTTTAGCGTCTTTATTTCGCTTATTGTCCATATAAACTTCTTGGTTGATAATACATAAAAACAAACTAGATCTCTTCAACTAAAGCAATATTTCAAATAATAAACTGATAATTTTTTCTTGTTGTTTCTAAGAATTTAGCACTACATGCACCTGTGCGTCAAGATAACGTCAGGATAATTGTTAAAAGGCTTGAATTTGTATCGAATAAGGTATTTGAATGGAAGCCGATGCATTCAGGTGCTCTTCTTCACTTACAAGGTATATATAAAGTCATTTTTTTTTTTCTTCAGATCTTCTGGAAGAAGAACATAAATTTCCATGTATCCGTGATGTAGGGATAAGTCAACGGCATGGTGTCCAATTTGGAAGGTTCGGAGAAACTCCGAATGATTCATTTGATTCTGATGAAATCACTTATTCTTCTTCTATTCTTTCTGTCACCCTATAGGTATCCTGATGAATATTTCATCAATGCTATATAATAATGTCTCATATGTGCTATAGACAGTCTCTATGATTGGTATATGAACACACGTCAATGACCCAGAGCCTTTGGAGATGCTTAGTTATTATTCCTCGTCAAGAAGTGTTCATCATCATACACTCCTCGGGATATATATTTGATGTTCTTTGCTCTTGCAAGCAAGTTGTCTTATAGGAATGGTACTAGCGTGGGTATAGATCGACAGTTTCTGTATTAAGGCGAGTCTTCGTTCCGCGAGGCCGCGTTGAGGTTACATGGGATTGCCTCTAACTTGCAGAGCGCAGGGAATCAGTTGGGAGATAGAGAGAAATGCTGAGGAAGAAAAGAAACAGACATTGACGTAGATTAACTGGAATCGTCGTTTTACCATCAGACTCAAACCAATCTCAATGCTCATACATCTTCTCCTGTCTTAAGACTAAATTTTCACGCGTAAAAACTAGACTCCCTGTAATTTTGTAACCGTCCTTGACACCCGTGAAATGTCCTCGGTGTAAGAAACAACATTTTTTTGTTTGAGAAAAATGTCGACAGAATCCATTCTTATATTTATATGTGATGGGAGAAATAGGTTTGCACGCCTCCGGCATCAGTTTTAACCGCTCGCCAGATGCGTAGCATGAGTGAAGTTTCGTCGAACATTTTTCTACCTGAGGGGCGCCCAATAAAGGTAAAACACATGGCGTCGGAGTGCGCGAGTCTAGTCCTCAAACTCATTTGTCGTTGGCGTACTCCAACGATCATACGGTTATATGGTAAATTGACCCAACTAATCAACTGCACTTTTGTGGTTGGTCTAATAATGGAGAACGTTCCAGAGCATGTGTCATCGTGTTGACGTACAAAATACTTCGACAAAAGACTTGTTAAATTTTTTATTTTCGTCGTGCTAAATTCTTTTCTTCTGTCCTTTAACAATGCTAATAATTTTTGGTTCACGATTTCTTTCAGAAAGTAAACACTAGGGTTATCATGTTGATGAATAAATAGCTGAAACTTATAGATATTTATCTGTTTAGATCTATTTTATTGCAAAAAAAAAAAAAACAAAATTAAGTATTACTTTATATTGGCAATTAAATGAAACAGTTTTTTTGCAATTAAATAAATTACCGTCTGTATTTAATACGACAAAAAAATCTAGCGTAAAAATGAAATCGTCGTTGAAAAGAACGGTTCGTTCTCAAGTTTATTACTGACTTTCTACTGATTTTCTGTGATTTTTTTATGCGTTGGCTAACAGCAGGTCTTTCCACACCGTAAAGTCGTCTAACAATCAAGAGTTTACTTAAAGTAAGTTACCTATAACAATGTCGAGTCGTAAAGATTATTATTATTTAAAAAAGAGAATTTTTAAATAGATGAATATATAAAAATGATGACAGAAAACTTCCATCAATTAATATTGTATTTTTTCCAAGTTTTTCTCATACTTTTTCTTTTATTGCCAATAGTCGTAAGTAAACAATAACTCATAAATATATCGTCAAATAGTGTCATAAATGTACTTAAAATGCTTCATTCTTACATTTACTCATCACGAATACCCATCATATTTTCGTACATGTGATAACGTTACAGATTGCATCGACCAGAAAATTACACTTGCATGAATAACGATGACAGATGATAATGAATGATAAACAGGTTGAGTTGACCCCGGAATTATATTCCCTCTAACAACCTATGTAAATGAGTTGTATTAACAATTCGCTTGTTAGTTGTTTATGATTCGAGACTTTGTTCATCGTTTATAACCTATGTTACAATGTCTCTAGATTTTCCAACATTTTTCTGCTTATTTAATTGCTCATATTTTTACGTCAGCCGGTATTCGATCGTTCTGCGGTTTGCAAGTATTTTTATGAGTTCTGAATGTCTTTCAGACACGTGCCACACGTCCAGTAGGTAATACAGACATCGGAAACCGATAAAAATAGATATAAAATTGCAAATCGTGAAACAAATGAGTTTTTTTTGTTTTTTCTTCGAAGAATTGTTGATTGATGGCCATAACTTTTATTTTAAAGAACTTAGGATTATTTTTTAAAATTTTTTATCACCCAAAAAACGCAGTCTCTATTTATAAAAAATTTATCCAATTATAATTTTAATTGTCTGTAATTAATTTTCAGTTATCAACTAAAAAAATGACATATTTATATTTTAATTTTTCCATCAATTTAAATAAAATATATTATATTATTGTTTTCAATGGATTGAAAAATAGTTTTTCATTATGATAAAGTTATTTCTCTCTTTTTTTCATAAAAAAGTGTATTAACACAAATAATTTTTATCTAAAAATCATTTGAGAATTTTCAATTTGAGTAAAAGACACCTTTCAAATACTTTTCAATGAAGTAATGTGTGGTGAATCAAGCAAAGTATCCATCATTATCCAAAAAATATGCAAAGATTCACAATCTATCATATACAAAACTGCGAAATGTAGAAGCGTGTGCTTGGAAACCACGAGTCCCAAACCACATGATAATTATTTATTGCCTGCTTTTACTCGGTTTTTTTCATCATAGCGTGACGCATGTTACTTTCTGTCAACGTTTCGTCTTACTGGGGATAAATAGGTTGCTTTAAACGTTGAGTTTTGTGGTTTTTCTTCTTCCCATACAATTTGATATTTTTATAACATAGAAAGCACAACTATACTATTACCATTATCATCATCATCATCATCAAAATTGGCATAGCAAACATTATTATGATGCAGTTGTAACTATACTATCTCCTGAGTTTATACATATACGATTACGTTGTACAAAGCATAAAACGACTAGACTGGTCACTGTTTTACGATTGCTGACACCTTACCGCCCTGTGCAAGAAGTTGACTTACCCTCTTGCACGACTTGGTTGCATTCACTTCCCTCTCACTCACTCCTGAACTCTCTTCGGAGCATTCTCGTGATATTACGACCGTGAATATTAAAGTAATTGATGCCTCCATAAAACAGTGAACAGCAAAGTCTTCGGTGTGTCTCTGGAAGACCTATTCATTCTATCTCCATCGCACAGGTATTCCTGCTCGCTACATCACCTGTCTCATATATTCTCCACGTACATTACCTTGCTCGTGTCATCGTCCACTCTGAATATATACTTATCATTATATTAGCTACTGTTACGAAATATTTTTGTTTGATATAAACGCACCGAATGAATAAGGAAGGGTAATTGAGTCGGCTGATAATATTAATTAATCAAAAACGGAAAAAGCACAAATAATTTTAATGGATCAGGTTGATAATACGTGATGAAAAAAGAGACATGAGAAGTGTACAGGTATTGAGAAGGGATGTATAATAGTGTGGCAGGGGTACACAGAGGGAACAGCGTGTAACGATGTATCAAGCTGTTGCGCCCCCGGCGTGTCCGGCAACAGTGCAGAGAGAGAAAGATGCTTTCTGCTTTGAGAGAAGACCGACAGCCGCGCGTTCCTTGCCTCTGCATCATTCCTTTACACGCTCCCAATGGCCAAACGAGCGACGATAATGCTGCCTCGAGAATCCAGTCCTGTTATCCAGGTCCATGGACACTATTAATTCTCTACATATTCCAAGCACTTATCGTATATAGCTCACACCAAGTTATACCCAACCTACGTTTGTTTGTATCAAACTTCAATATTATATATCCATAACATAACATTCACTCTCGGGTGTAGTTTCAACTCGTTCGATTGAATCGTCTCAGATATGCGGCCTCTATACCTTGTATCAGCTTCTGTGAATATCGCTCATCCTTCTGAATTTTTCAACGCTTTTGAAAGCAAAGGGGAGAAAAACTTGAACCTTCTTCGTCATTTCTACGTATTTTTGAATTTTATTGAGATACTGATAGGGAATTTTAACATGAGGTCGAGTTGGAATAAATTTTAAGCTTTGGTCTAGGTTCACAGTTTAAAAGGTTTTTAATAACTATATATTAGTTTTTAAACGTTAGTTTTTATTCTTTTAATTGGTGAGAAATGTTTTAGTTAATTGGTTAAACAATGGGAAAGTCATTATGAGGGGTAAAAAAATATTTCATTTATTATAAAAACAGATAAATTATTTATTTCTTTAGAAGGATAATGGTCGGTAATGGTGCTAATTTTCTGGCTCATTATTTCGAAACAAAGGTGACAATTGATACTGATCTTATTTATAAACGGTTCAATGAGTATAGAGTTATTTACTTTTATTAGATATTTAGCTTTGAAGTTTTTTTGAAAAAAAAATGTTTTTTCAAATACTTTGGATCAATAACAGTTTTTTTAAACATCAGTAAAAATTGACAGAGGATTTCAAATAAAATTTGTTGAAGCTTTTGATGAGTTTATTATGATCTTAGTGAACTGATCATCATCACTACCTTCATTTGATCCGATCTAAGAAAAAAAAAATTGTAGTCAAGATGCATTCAGTATACTGGTCTCAAATACAAAATGGTACTCTAGTGTATCAAGTCCTGCGAATATCTCTGATCCTCTTGAATTTTTTATCTCTCTCGTGAGTTGGGGAAAAAAGACGTGAAAGAAGTAAGATTTTTTTTGCGAAGAACGAAACGAATAGCTGATGCTTTTCCACGAAGAAAAGATGGGGTTGTTGAGACGTGAAGGGGGTAACGATAGAATTTCGAGGAGGTTGGTAACCTGAGACGAGGTCGCAGTTGAGGGCATCGTTGGAAGTAGAGAGAAAAGGGGTTGCCGAGGGGTTGGAGAAGCAAAGTAACCATGCAGCAGGCTAGCAAGGCGGCGCAACCCTTGCCCGAGGGTCCTGTGAGACAGAAACGTGGAGAAAGGGTATCCTGTTGTCATGGTCCCTGTGATGCTCCATTATTGATTAAAGATGGCTGAGCTTATCTCGCTCTGTCATGACTCAACTTACTCTTCCACCGGATGGCTGACTTCGTCGAGCTCGCGAAGCCATTTTAATATGCGCAATTATAATGTGTACCCAGGAAACCCACCCCGCTCAACCAAGAGGAATGAGGTACGCACGAGCCGACGGACTCTCTCTCGTTTTATACTTCCTACGGCTCTTTCTTTGTTTGCCATGAAATCGTCAGGGAAGCCGTGTAATTGAGGAGTTAATTAGGACGTTTTTGCATCAATTGGTCCACGTTCAAAAATCACAACCTTATGTAGCTGCCTTTTGGTTATGAACCTTATTAATTAATCATCTCAAATTATCTTTTTTTTTGTTGGACAATCATTTTAAAGAGATTAACATAATTTTTTAATTTTCATCATTATGGTGGTAAATTTAATTTAATTTAAAAAATGCTTATCCTTTTAAAATTAAAACAAAAGTTAATTATTATTATTTGTAGAAAAAAGATAATAATTAATTTTGATCTCAAGTGTCAAATATTTAATTGAAACATCTGTACAATATACACAGATAGGTAAGATAATGTCTGGCTTCGGTAAATATATGCAAGCAATAGTTTCACTTCAACGTACATGTATATTTATTTAGGACCTATAAACGCACGAGCCAACTGGATGAGAAGGGTACTGAAAATTTTCAAGGGAAGAGCAAGCAATCAGGGTATATCAAGACGATATCGCTGACGACAGCTCGTTAGCGCCAGGCTATTACAATGGCGTCGCGACGCCTGATATCTGATAACATTTGTGGGCGTCCCTTCGTTGCTTTTGCAGTACTGCTATTCAACAGAGTTCTGTTTATATAATGTAGTTACATTGTAATTTATATTAAAAAGATGCGCGTGTGCGGTCCATAATACTTGACGAAGAAAAATCAGATATCGTATAACCATGCAGGTCGATGAATCATTTACTTAGCCAATTAAATGAAACTTGCGTGAAAAATTTGACAAATCTGTATGGCCACAACAACTAATCTATCAATCATTTTTTAATTTTTTTCTTGCTTCATTAAATAACCACTAACTTCTGCTCACGACACGATAATTTATTAAATTAATTAGAAAGTCAAAAGGGCAATGGTCCATTTCTCGTTACGTCAGGCACGAAATAAATGGACTCAAGTCTCTTGTTCGTAGTGTTTTACACGAAGCACTATCATTATTTCGACTCCAATAGTAGAGATTAGTAATTAACCGTGACGTCATCTCGGGAAAAGCAATAAAAGTAGCAGCAATTCGTGGAGATCAATTACTTTCTATGCAAAAGCTGCTTTAAAGCGGTGGTAATGAGCAATCGTGATCATTAACAAGCTCTGACTCTGGTTTGAATTAATTAAATAATGGGAATTTAATTTCAAGTGTCTTCCTTTCAGATATTTCTTACCCAAGTAACACAATTGAAAAAAGGTATCTTTCTGACTACTTTGAAACACCTTTTTGGACACATCTGACAATAAGTCACAATAAGTCGTGTTAAAGTACTTAAAATGATATCTTTTTTTAATTACATTGCTTGGGTAAATATTCAATAATTAATTATTTTTTTAAATTTAAATAAATATTCATGATTCAAGTAAATAATTGTTTTAAATCTAACAAAATTTTCTGTAGTATTTTTAAAGGAAAATTGAGACCACCCCGAAAATACTAGATTACTAGATAAATAAAAAATTTGAGGAAGTTCTAAAATGAACCATAAATGGAAATAACTGGAAGAAAAATATTTCGGTTATGACGACAAAGCTTTGAGAGACAGTAGTAGTCGGAAAACCCCAAAGGGCTAGCATAATAAAAAATATCCCAACATAGATCTTGAGTAATAAAATCGTTTTAGAGCAGAGAAAAATTTTTTAACAAAAGAACCCTAAGACATAGATGTAAACGTGAGAATGCGAAAAATTATTAGAAAAACCCATAAAGTTACGGAAAAAACGATTAAGGTAATAAACACACTCCTTTCTTGATATTTTTACAATACTCTTCAGTTATGTTTGTACCCTTTTGATTATATTGAGGCCATGTCCTTGGTCAAAAGGAAACAGGCGTTTCTCACTTACATTGTGCTTAGTGACACCTTGATGCGCGCGTCCTCAGGAAACAATAATTTCATTGGAACAACTCTTGGCCTTTTATTGCGTGACACGTCAATTTTTGAGGATCGATCGTCTCGCACGGAAGAAAGTGTTTACAGCATAACATTAGACCATCACAAAAGAAAAACCGATGGTGAAACGAATGTGCCTGTAAACATCTTGCTTTTGACTCTTAAACATTTGTTGCAGAACTCTTAAGGCGTATATATGTACTGATGGTATGCCTTCAATATATTTATGAGAAAATAACTCATTTTTTTTTTTGTCCCTTAAACAATTATAATCCTAACAGAAACTCGAGCACACTTTTAAAGCCCATTTTTCAATTTTTTTTTTGAAACTGCACGGTCTTTTATACTCTTCTGTTCAAAGTAACATAATATGTGTAAAGTATAAGATTCATAATTAATTGCATTGCTCTGCATAACTGTTTAACGGTCACTCGCATCTTGTTATTGTCAATAAGAAATAAAAACCACATGTAGCTATGATGATTTTAAAAGTCTTCGTGGAAAGAAAATAAGAAAATTTTTTCTCAAGACTTCACTTAACCATAACTGACCAAAGATAATTTTTTTCCCAACTCGTTAAAGTTTTGTTGACATTCCAAATGCCATGGAAATTCCTTAGCTTCTTTTTTTTTTTTCAAACAGCACAGATATTTTTCATCAAGCATCATATTTTTTGTCAAGTCATCTGATAAATGTCATCTCGATTGTTACGTAATTCAAGTCAACTTGCACGTGTTTAAATTCATCAGGAATTTTTTTATAAAAAGCTTATTCAATTTTTTTTTTTTTTAAATAGTTTGTAACTCTTAGTATCAGCTTTTATTTTTCTTATCCCTTTCAAAATGAAAGAAAGATTGCATGGGTCATGAGGACCACACGCCTCGAGCCTGCAATCCATCTTAAAGAAGCTCATATTCATTCAATGACACTAATGCTCCTCTGGTAAGAATGATCTGCATCCTTCGTGAGTCCTTTAAATATCTCCTTGCTAAGCGTAAAGCAAAGTGGTTGTTGACATGCTCACCATTCTCTCCTTAGTCAATTTATCTTTCCTTCTGTCTCATATTATTATCTCTAAGATCAACATTATTATGTTTGTACGCACGATATCTCCACAATCATGTAATTGAATTTTTTTTTTTACTGTTACAGCTGCCTTCATGGTTTATTAGACCGGAAGCACCGGCAAATTCATGTACAGGCGCCAACTCGTTGACGAGAAATCCACAGATTGATTTCGCGAAATCTGCGATTAATGATAGAAACGTGCATGGACACATACCCACCATCTGTACTGTAAGTCTAGAACTTGGAATAATATTGAATTATTTTGATGTGTGGTAATGGAAAAAATTTTTCAATTCAATGGAACATTTATTTATATTATATAGAATAGATTTATTTCTGGAAATATAATTGAGACAGCAATACATTTATTTTAACAGACTGCAATAAATATTCATTGAAAAATGCATAAACAATTCGATAATAATAGAGAATTATTTATTACATTCTTTTTGATTAACTAAATCAATCGCATTTTTTATCAATAAATTTACAATAAATAAAATTCTTGGAAATTGAGTCAGAATTATTTTCTTGCAGGAATATTTAAATAATCTCTTTTATTTTTAAAAAGCTCTCGATAAAAATGTTAATAAATTACAAATTATTAGAAAAATCATTTTTAATTAAAAAAAAAAAAGGAAAATATTGAATAGAATAATTTTTTTTACAACCACAAGCATGATTTATCCCTCTAACTATTTGGATAAAGAATATATTAGTCAGATCACCAATATTAAATTTTATTACGATAGCGTGTACTCCCTCGGTGACACCGTAAATTTGTGTCACGAAAACCCGTCGAATTGCCGCCACGTAAATTGTTCGGCGATATATAGATATATATATAATCGCGAAGACAGAGTCTGAAACGAGTGGGAATCGTGAACAAGCCGCGGGCCTGTAATTTTATTTCTTTATCGAGGGGACGTGGCCGGGGCTTCACACTTTACTACCTTCGAATTCTGCAGTCACGCCATTGCCATTGGATGTTAAAACGTCGCAGGACAAGCATTAAAAGAAAAAAAAAATATAAACTTAATGTTAGCTATTGAGAAAGTTTTATTGTTGAGTATGAGTTAAAGTAAAAGATTGAAGGCGCGAAAGTTAGTCAGCTGAACCTTTAACTGTTGAAAGCACGACACCTGGTCGATATTCAATTTACAATTTTGTCGCAATGACACTGTTTTCAATATTGATTTTCATCAAGGTTGTCATATTAAAATCAAATCATTTCCTTCCGATATTACTCTTTAAATAAAAGATAAAAGCTCAATTCTAGATCATTACTGATTTTTATTTGCATTATAAGTGACAGTAAATTTTTTTTAGATCTTAAAAAGTAATTTTTTTTGCAATTGAAAATAAATGAATAATTGAACAATATTTTAAAATAAAATTTTTGCTCATTTATTATTTATGATAATTCCATTAAGCTTTTTATTAGCATAAAAAGAAATATTTCTATCAATTATTTATGGAACTATTATTATTAATATTTTATTTATTATTTATTACTTATTTCCACTTGAATAAAATCTCTGCTGAATTATTTATAACAATCAAAATTTTCCACCGTTGCAGTTACTCATAACACTGTCTTACTCCACTCTAATGGTATTTTCTTGTTTGCTACTGCTCTTAGGCATGATGATTACCGACTCTAAGTATACATTGATAAACACTGAATTTTTGATAAGCAATATAGAACATATATAGATATAATTTACCATGTAGACTCCGAACAGTAGGAATTGAGCATCTCGCGAGTGATTTCACGGTCTCTCTTTATTTTCTTCAATTCTCTTGCTCAGTGTATAGCAAGCTGTAAATGGATTAACCCACGTGGCTGTTAGAATGTAGTGGGTTAATAACTCGAGAAGACTGAAGACCTCAGAGCATCAAGTATCTGAGTTTATGGTGAGGCTATAATACAAGGGTTTTGATGTGTAGAAGATTCATGAATGTTGTAGTAAGCCAGGGTGATAGTGGTGGTGGTGGTGGTGATGGTAAAGATCCGTGACTCTACGGACGATGATCGCGAGTGATCAACGGCTAATGATGATGAACACCAAGCGGCATTCACAAGACGAATCTTGAGTAAAGTGGACGAGTAACGGTCAGGGAAAAGCAGGAAATACTTGGGTAGGAAATAATTTAGAGTCGTTTGGCGATTCTGAAGTATTCAAAGCATGTCGAGGAATGAAAGCCAGCCGACGATTAAATATTTTTTTTTTTATACAACGATCGAATTAATAATCCAGCTATTCAATTCAAGACGTATCCAAGTCAAAGCATCATCTCGCTCTCATTGATCGAATCGTCTTTTCTCGTGGATGAATTTACGGGTATGTAGTACTTTGTATGTTGTGGAGTAAGACAAGCAAGCTCGTTATTAGCTGTTGAAAGTAGCAAGGAGGCAGACAAGTATGGTGATAAAAAATGGAAGTCGATTCATCGGACGAGAACGTTAACGACGCTGCGTTCTTCGGTTCTGCGGGACAAAAAGGACGATCTATCAAATTGTCACTGGGCTTTCTATTTCATAGCACCGCGCCTTGTCCAATAAGCAATCTTCCACGTCGACCTCAATGGGTTATGCCAGCTTGAAATCGTCATGAGAGTATGTAACATTGCAAAGACCGCCAGCGTTGATCTTGTCTGTGTGTATGTATATTCATATAAATATTATTCTTCTGCTACCTACAGATGCTAGATGACAGAGTAATGTTGTTCAGCTTGCTCTTTACCTAGGCTATAGCACAGTTAATGATGCCACGTGTCTTCTTTTGAGATTAAAGAATTACTCTGTTTGACGAAGTGAGGAAAATAAGCAACATACAAAACCAATTGGTCATTTTATGCCTAACCATTTTGATGACCTTCTCCTTCATATGATGACGAGGAAAGAAGTGATTACACCTTGAAATAAGAGGTAGAATACCGGTTACCAGCTGTTGGACAATTGAGTGGTCAAATCTTCGTCAACCCCTCGAAATTAGTTGATGTTTATTGGAGAACGTACAACCGGATAGATATGAAATGATGATTATTTTTTTATTTCATTTAATGATGATGGAAAGCTGTCAGAAGGTAAAAGGATCGAAGGAGTAAATGTGATGATGCAGGTTGCATGAGGAGGAGATTCTTGCGTGAAAGTAGAGCGGCTCGGTTACATGCTGAGATCAACTCGGCGTGAGAATGTAAACTTGGAGATCGACGAGTGCCGGATGAACAGAAATCACTGACAATTATTGCTAACAATTATACAACTATTAATTACGAATTGATCAACGTCAGTGAGCTGCAGCGGATTATCATTTATCAAACAGTGAACATTCATACATATCTATATATACATATATATATTTATAATGGAGATCGAAATGAAAAAGAAATAAATTTACGAGTCAGTCACGCGATGGGAATTGAATCTGTTGCAATTTCCTATAGTGAATTAAGAATTGATCGAGGCGCATGACAAGAGGTGCGTAAATTTTTTTCAAGAAACAAAGAGAGAGAGTAGTAACACATTACTGTACTTGAGCTGCGAAAACATCTGCGCCCTTAATTATTTTACGGATTTAGTAGATCGTTATGGCTTGTAAAATTACTGCCAATTTCACGCCTCTAAACTTATTTTATCCCCAAACTATCGGTTGCATCGCCAGTGATGCCGCCAGAGACCAACTTGCCTACCGGCGCAGGATATTGAGCATCCTTCGTGCCAAATTAATGGCCAGCTTGTTTATGACTGCATCGTCCGCAGTGTGGGACACGCAACTATTCCGTCGCAAATTCCCGTAAAGACGACCGATAATAAGATTCTGTCTTTTTCTCTCTTCAACTCGACCTTTATATTCTTATGGAGCATTTTATTTTGTTTGTATCATTTTTTCCCATGCAAGACTATCAACCATACCAAGAGTCATCACCGTTATCCTTTCGTTCTTCGCTCTTTTCTTCTCTCCTCTTCGCGATTATTAGTTCCACCTTTACTCCTGGTCCGTCTCACTACCGTAAGCGATATAACGAGGCCCACTCGACCCAGGTAGCCGATGACTACTCGTTCGTTTCACGCCCGATTTCATTTTTCATCCTCCTCGTCGTCAGACTCACTATTTATCTCTTCAAGTGTACACTCTATATATCTGGGATTACTTTTTAATTGCTTTCTCTACCCTTTCAACGTCCCTCGGTCATTGAATATGTTTCTAGTGATTGAAAATTGTGTCTTTATAGCACTGAAAAAAAAAACAAATATTGATGTACGGAGAGAAACAATTTATTTATTGAGCTTGGGATTTTCTGTGTGATAAATTGATTTTTTTAATCGCTTTATTTCAATAATTTCTGTAGAATTTATTTATTTTTAACTTTTTATTCAATTATTTTAATCATTTTTATCATCAAAATAGTTTTAAAAAATTTTCCCCCTTTAAATTAATAATCATCAAATATTTTTTTAATTCATAAAAAACATCAAGGATCATTCAGATTGAATTAGTTCAATTCAATTTATACATTTATAAAGATCAATTTTTTTCAAATATTCAAAACTTCACTGTAAATCCAAGTGCATTCTTTTTACACATTTAAACGTGTTAAAAATGACGTCATTTGATTAACATTGTAGTCACTTTTTACACACTTAGAAACGCAATTAAAATGACTACAATGTTAATCAAATGGGTGTCGTCATATTTAACATGTTTAAATGTGTTAAAAGAATGCACTTGAATTTACAGTGATTTAGAGAGAAAAAAAGGATAATATTCATTGCAATAAAAAAGAAAATTTTCTTCCCAGCAATATTTAGTATTTGCGATCATAATATTCCATTGTTAATAAAATATCATTATCTCTAGTCATAAAAAATTGTTGGAATATCTTCTAAATGCTTGACTGACTCTAGACCTTAAGATGACCTTTGCTTCCAATAAAAAATTCTTCTTCACCACCGATAGGCATCAAGAGATTCTATATCTAGTTATTTTAATTGTTTAAAGGACAATATGACTACTGTATAGCATGTAGACGTGCAAGTTGCAAGAATCACTGTAATTTAATAAATTGCGATAGCTCCTGGGGCAAATTGTAGCATAATCATTCATTAGTAGGTCGTGACTCGGCGTTGAGTACTCGCGCGATCGTGATGCTTGCCGACACATCGATGGACGCGCTGAGTCCTCATTACCCCTCTAAGCCTTTTCATCTTTGCAGTATGGCCG